GAGTCTGAGAGTGTGCATAGCAAACTGTCCCCTTCCAGTGCTTGATGGGAAGGGACCAGGTGAGAAAGGTCAGAAGGCTTCAACTGCATGAGTGAATTCCTGGTGACTGAACTTGCTGGCCCATCAGACCCTCTGCTAATGGACCCCTTAAACACAGCAGATGAGGATCCCATCTTCTTCACCCAGTTTTAACTCCCCATGTTTCTTCCCCTATGTGCTATTTTCTGTGGTTTCCAGGAAGCTTATAAGTTCAAGGAATGGGAGTCTGAGTGAATGACTGTCTTAGTTCAGAGCAAGAATTATTCCTGCTCAGTCCATTCCTCATCAGTAACCCTGGATGTCCCTTAAACAGGGCCAAAATGTGCTAAATGACAGTAAATGAACCAACAGGTGTGGAACCCACAGTCTCCCAGGAAGAAGGTGAAGACCACCAATGCATTTTCCATTTAGAACCAGAGTAACTTGCAACTGACTAGCACCTGAGATTAAGGGGTTGGGGAACATTCAAAACTGAAATCTCTTTTGGAAATAATTTGGTTCCAGAACTTCATGGAAAAATATAATAAAGAAATTTGATACACATGGAGTAGTTATTGCATTAGCCAGAGTGAAGCTCGTGCACACACACACACACACACACACACACACACACACACACACACACACACACACACTAAAAGAAGTTAAAGAGAGCAATAAAGTAGCAACTACTTGAGCCTGCATTAAGGTCAGGCCTGTGCAGGGCCCACAGGAAAGTGACTGCTGAACTCAGTCTTACAGGGTTCCTGCTTCATGGAAGAGTCTACGAGACTTTCTGCAGGACAAAGAAAAATAACTGACAGACTGCCAATGCAGATGGACAGTTTGAAATTTCCTGCTTTTCTGAGAAGTGTTCCAGACACACTGTGGCCTATGGGCTGAAGATGGATGCCCCAACATTACAGAGGAACTTCGGGTGACTGTCCAGGCAGTAAGATGTCTCTGTCAATCCTAGTGTTTATATATTATCCTTCTGTGGTCTTTGATGGAGTTGAAGACAGATAGTTATAATTATAGTTTTCCTTAGTTATGATAAAAGATAAGTTACATATAGAACTTTGGACTCACAAGGATGGGATGGATGATGTTTTCTTTAAATCTTGCTAAAATATTGTAACTATGTTCTTATTTGATAACTGTTCTGTTATATACAATTTGACTGTGTTAAAGTTAAGACCTTTTTGTTTAAACAGAAAGGAGGAGATGTTGGGGAAGTCCTTTGTCAATAAAGCACTGCTGGCCAATAGGAATCTAGATATGTGGGACTAGGAGTCCAGGAGGACTCTGGGAAGGAGAAACACAGGAGAGTCGAGATGTAATGCCATGGGGTAGGGAGCCCGGAAACTTCTCTAGTAAGAGACATACTTAGATTAACAATTATGGGGTAATTACTTAAGTCAGAGCTAGCCAGTAAGAAACAAGCAAAGGCCAACAGCTTTATAATTAATATAGTCTCCTGTGTGTTTATTTGGGACTGATGCGGCTCTAGAACCAGGCTGGCAGGAAGGCTTCCCTCAAAAGAAAAAGCTTCTCTTTACAGGCCTGAGCTAGCTTGAGGGCAGGCAAAGTGCCTGCAGGCCTTTTGGCAACAAGATTCTACATGAGGGGTATAGTCAAAAGCAGACAAACATGTATCCAAATTCCAGCTGCATTATTTGCTTATAGTGTGACCTTAAGTCAGTTAGCAGGCTACTCTGCTCTTGAAATCTTTGTCTGTTAGGAATGACAACTGCTCTGGGTTCTTGACTTAGAGCATGCACTGGTCACACAATGATGCTCTGTTAAGTGAGAGTTACTTCCTTCTCCACTGTTTTACAGACTGCAGCAATTAACACACAGCTATCATGATACCTATGCTATGTCGTTTCTTTTCTTCTTCTTCTTCCTCCTCCTCCTCTTCCTCTTCCCTCAAATGGTTTATAACTTCTCTGAAGTTCTTATTTTTTAAGATTTAATTTTATCTGAGTGTGTATGCATGCATGCACATGTGTGTGTGTGTGTGTGTGTGTGTGTGTAAGTGCCTGCAGAAGACAGAAAAGGGTGTCAGGCCCTGTGAGCTGGAGTGACGGGAGTTTTGAACTGCCTGTAGTGATGTGGGTGCTGGGAACTGGACTCTGGTACCCTGCAGGAGTAATGGGCAGGCTGTCTTTAACCGCTGACTCATCTCTACAGCTCTCCACTTCCATTTTTAATTTTAAGAATGTTTTTACGTGCTGAGGCTCAAACCCAGCACATGTGATGCGATCTCTCCAGCACTGAGCAGTAGCCCCAGCCCCTGGAGTATTAACACTTCTCCCTTCCACGTGCTCTTGACCAGTTGACTACCGGCAGACACGGTCCACCAAATAAGCCATTGTAAAAGGCAAACAAATCTAAGAGATCCAGAAACAGGGTCCTCCATGGAGGAAATACATGTAGGGGCACAGGCTGTGGCAGGCAATAGTAATATAAGTTCTGTCTGTGAGTCTAGAGCTCACTGCTGGGGTACCGCTAGAGACCTAGGGCTGCTGTGGAGAGGGATGCAGGGAAAGAAAATAAGCAAACAGACGACAAGACGATCCAAGCGGGCATCAGTTACTACGCAGAAAGTGTGTACGGTGCCGTGTGCTGGGCACAAAGACTTTAGCTAGAGAATCGAGGGCACTCCACTAATGTGCTGCGGTACGCTACGTTTAGCTTGTAGATAGGAATTACAATTACGATAAGCTGCTTGCCTTAGTGTTCAATACTTACCTGTTCACCAGTTGAAAACACTGACGAAAAATTCGGCAAAATTTTTATCCATCTACATTTGGCAAAGGGAAAGGGCAAAGGTTGCTGACAAATCAGCAGGAACTCTCTACCTATCGTAATGGGCTTTGCCCCCATTTCCTAAACTCAGTAAGTCAGGGAGCATCCCGTGTGGATGCATTCAAAATATGACGGCAGGCACCACAGGAAACAAACAAACAAACAAAAAAACCATGAAAGCGACATCTTTTCCCTTTTCCTCCCCTCAGTCCGTGTGTTGACAGTTTATTTCAGATGCACTATTAGCTGTCAGAGGTAAACTAAAACAAGAAAATTACATATAGACTCTGATTTCTAGGATTTTCAAAACCATAATTTAAAGTAGAAGTCAATGAATGCGATAAGAACCATGGCATGCTTTGTTTAGGTGAAGAAAAAAATCTTTAGTGAAATTTCTAGAATACTACAACCCTGTTGACCAGAGACCTAACCAAAGGATAGTACAATATGAGAAAACTCACGAAATGGTTGCATATGGTGGGCTCTAGCAGAAGAGGGAACTAAGCCAGTTCTGCATTTTGGGGAGGGGGATCACAGTGATACTGGCACTCAGAGAAGACTCTGGAGAGGGTCAGACCCGTGCAGAACTGTCGAAGATGACAGACAGGAGGCCCCAGCTAGCAGCCATCAGGCCATGCTTAGAAAAAGGCTTGTCTAGGGAGGAGAGCTGAAGCAGTAAAGTAGAACCCTAGGAGAGACTGCCTCCAGGGAAAAGCTGGATTCAAGCTCACAAGAAGAGCCCGCCAAGTAGCAGAGACCATTGGTACCCAGCCCTTGGCCTCAGCGCTGAGGAGTGTGGGGCAGGGGAGAATTGCTTACTGTCTGGATGCTATAGGGAGGTATACAGTAGTTGAAGAGGAGGAGGTTGAAGATGGAGAGCACTATAGAAAAGCAGGACCAATCAAGATGCAGAGAACAAGCCACCTGTCCGGTACCCATCCACAACTGATATGTCTACAATGCAGCTTTTCCACCTGAGGTGAAAAGACTGTAAAAGCCCAGTGAGACAGGAAGTTTGCTGTGAGACTGTTTCCTGGAAATGCCAGGGATGTGACAGCCGTCAACATGGCTGCCTAAACAAGTCCCAAACAAGGGTGACACCAACAGAAGATATGCTAATGGGCAAGGGAGACATCCCACAGGGCCCCAGTCTTAGACAAAGAACTACAGGCAACTGAGGAATGCTTAGACTTGGGAGAAACAGTCTTCTCCAGAGAGGGAAAACCATACCAATGGGTTATTGGATACCATGTAGTCAGCCCTGAAAACATGCATACAACTAACATTACACGGATTGAAGAGGTTGTGTTTATATACTTCAAAAGGTGTGTGTGCTTGTATTTGTGTGTGGGGGGGGGGTGAGGTAATTAAAGAGACAGAGGCCATGAATTTGAGAGGGGTGAAATTCATCAGCAGGGTCCATAGAAGAGGAGGGAAGAGGGAAAACAATGCAATTATATTTTAATTTTAATCGATTTAATTATATCTTAATTATTTTATTACATCTGAATTTCAAAAATAAGAAAAACGCGAAAAGAAGGAGACTGGGGGAGAATTGCAGTAGCATTTGGAAGGCAGCAGCCCACAGATGGGCAAGGCCATGCAGTTGCGCAACAACCACTGGCATTCTGACTTTCATTCAAAATGGAGTTAGGTGAGGCAACAGACTGATTTTAAAAAGTGGGTTTTGCAGGATTTGGTTTGCCATTTTTAAAGATAGGTCAAAATGACAGAGTGAAGATATCAGACACTCATGCCGATGAAACAGGCCCTGCGGAGCTACAGCTGGAGACCAACCCTGGGCTGCAAGAGGGGCCTGAGGGCCAATGGAGGGAGTGGGGGAAATGGCTGAGTTAGCAAGCGCTGTCCATACCCGCTGCAATGCACATCTGTCACGTTCCTATTGCTACTGTGAGATCGTGGGTCCCTGGCTTGAGCCCTTCTCTAGTCTGTAGCAGCTGGAGTGAGAGCAAATGTGAATCAGCATTTAGGATCTACCTTGTGAGGGGCACAAGTTTACAAACAACCCACACAGTTCTTCCTATGACTTCTCACTTCCTCCAGCACGGCAGAAAGCAATCTTTTTTTTTTTTTTTTTTTTTTTTTTGGTTTTTACGAGACAGGGTTTCTCTGTATTGTTTTGGAGGCTGTCGGTCCAGCCCGGCCTCGAACTCACAGAGATCCGCCTGCCTCTGCCTCCTGAGTTCTGGGATTAAAGGCGTGCGCCACCACCGCCCGGTGAAAGCAATCTCTTGAAGCATCCCGGTGAAACCCTCCCGTGTGGCACTTGGGTACAGGTGGGCTTTCATTAAGATCTCTCCTTCAAAACTCTCACCCCAGCTTGGTCCACAGGACCAATGAGAGGGAATGCTGTGGTTTCCGGCTCTGGAAACAGGAACTTGAAGGCTAGGTCTGTGGGTCAAGGGTAGGCAGACTTCAAAGATGACTCAGTGGAAGAACTTGCAAGGGCCAGATATTCTAACCTTTTGAAGATTGAAGGCTCATGTCTTATTGTCTCTGGCTGTGCAGAAGGGCAGAAAGAATGGTGGGCCATCTGAATCAGTCATTTGTCTGGAAAATTTATGTTTGGAATCCCTATGACATGGAAGGTAGGTGAGGGCTCAAAGGAAAGGGATAAAAGACCCAGACGCAGTCTTGGTCTTCAGCTGGATTGCAGTCTAGTTAGGAAGGCATTGATGAGCCAACAGAGAGATGAAGGAACAGAAAGCAGGAGGGACTAGAGTGAAGGGAGTAGGGAAGAACTGTGTTTGGGCAGAAGGACTCTGCAGAGGGGGAAGAACTGTGTTTGGGCAGGAGGACCCTGCAGAGGGAAGGCAATTACAAGCACTACTTTATGAGTCAGGGGCCACTCAGTAAACAGTGAGCAGAGAGCAGACTGAGTCTGCCGGAAGATGTGGGGGTTTGAACGGAAGCTGTAAGCCAGGAGGTTTGGGGGAAGAGCTGGATCCCACAGGGCTTTGGAAGCAACGTAAGAAATTAGGATTTATCCCAAGAAAATGAAGAACAATTAGAAGTTTGTAAATTCCAGCTACCACTTTAAATGTTCGCGTTGCATGTTGGCAAGACCAGGGGGAAGCAGGCTGGGCTGAGGCCAGAAAGCATTCAGGGTATGTGTGCCCATGGGCATTTTCATTTGGCATTCATTATTTGTGCCTGAGCCTTGTGGGACATGGTGGTGGGCCGTCAACACCTCAGCTTCATGGCTTCCCCTAACATGGATCGACCTCTAGGTAATCTCTCTTGATCTTTATTGCCAATAATGAGTCCATTGACTATCATCCCTGCTCCTGTACCTTTCCAGGGTTGCCTCGGGGATGTTACAGAAGAGTCTAGGCCAAAATTGCTCAATAAGTAAAGGGTGAAAGAAGAGTAGACCCACAGAGGAAGTAATTGGACAAAGACTCAACGTAGCAATGCGAACCAAAGCTCACATCCTGAGGCGTGCACACTCCTGTGCTTACCCTTGAAGACCTGTGAAACACCAAGAAGGGGCTCCCAGAGCTCCCTGATTGCTGGGGCAGAAGCTCAGGTTCCTGAAGAACACACTTCAGATTCATCTCATCAGCTTCTTTCAGAGTTGTCTAATTAGTCTCTCTCTCTCTCTCTCTCTCTCTCTCTCTCTCTCTCTCTCTCTCTCTCTCTCTCTCTCTCTCTCCCTCCCTCCCTCCCTCTGTGTGTGTGTGAAATGTACATTGTAAATTTGATCTTCCATGGTGAAACACAATTTAAAAAAAATAGAACAGTAAGATGACCCACTCTCATTCCAGCAGGTTAAACATTTGTACAGTTTTAATTCTAATTTCAAATGCCTTATTGTAGAAACCTTCTAAATCTCATATCTTTGTTCCTGTCTCTAATGAACTATGACTGTGAAAATTTACTGATTCATGCTCTAAATGTTTTTTTTCCTTTTTATCTCTTTGGATTTCACCAAAGGAAACCACAAAGCCCTCTACCCAACAAATAGCAACTGACTAGAAAAAACAAGACTAATTAGACTAGGTGCAGAGGAGACTGTGACAACAGGAATACACATCACGCTGAAATATCTGCCAGCTTTTCCATTATCCCTTTGCATTTCCATCTCTAGGATCAAATCTGTTTCTTAACCCTACACCCTTTCTTTTCCTAGTTCAGAACTTTGTGTTCAACAGGCTAAATGAACCCCTAATGTTAAGTACAATGCCACTCCTAAAGGTCTTCAGATAAGAATAAAATAAGTGATTGCCTGACTGTGGAGTTGGGTCTTGTGTACTATGATTCAAGGCTGAAATCCCCCCCCATTATTGAGTTTATTTTTTTATCGATAGATACATGAGTTGATGGTCTGTGCTAATGCATTCCATTTTGTCATGAGCAAAAACACCAGAATAATATAATAAAATTGAGTGGAAAATGGGTATCTAGCAAACAGATTCTGTTCTGCGAAAGGATATACCAGCACGTTTAAGAGTAATAGTGATGGCTTAAGAAAGGTCTCTGTGGTTTTACTCATGATGGATTATGAAGGACTGGGATAAAAAGTCCTGTATGAGTCTAGTAGAATCCATAAAGCTGGGAAGATATAAGTCTTCCTCCCCAAAGCTCATGGATGGGGAAGTCCATGCCTTCCTGGGATTTTAAGGTAAGTGCATAGAAAGAGGGTCTTTTGATCGTTAATCATCAGTTTCTCATATACCGTGGGTGCTTGATATGTTTTCACTACATGAATTAATGAATGGAAGAATTAGAATTTATCTTACCATGAAATTGGGAGTGACTCCTAACAAGCTCTTAAAATAAAAGGATGAAAGAATTTCCTTATCATTTAAAACATCTAACCAAATCTCACAACCTTTGCATTAAAAATCAAGTTGTGGGCTGAGGAGTCAGTTCTGCTGGTAAACCGTTTGCTGTGCCAGCATCAGGACTTGAGTTTGACTCATATGACAAATCCCAGGTGGGCTTGGAATACCAAAGCTAGAGGGGTGGTGAGAGCTGGGTCCCTGAGGCTTTCTGGCAAGCCAGCCTATGACAGGACACTGCCCCAGGAACAACACCAGAGGCTGACTTCTGGCTGCCACACACATGCACACTTGCACACATATCCCTACACATATGAATCTGTGCACACGCACGCACGCACGCGCGCGCGCGTGCGCGCACACACACACACACACACACACACACACACACACACACACACACACCCTGTTCTCTTGTCATCTTTATCTGGGATGCAGCTCATGAGCCTAGCAACCATAGAAGGATATGCTTATAATATGAAGGAAATAGTTCATTAAAAATTCACCTGTTTATTTAAGAAAAGATAGATAGAGAGATAGATAGATAGAGAGAGAGAGAGAGAGAGAGAGAGAGAGAGAGAGAGAGAGAGCACTTTACAAGCTCCCATCACCGATTCCAGACTTGATTTTTGCTCTCAGTTGTAGCACTACTAAAACTTTGCCTGGCACACAGTAGGCATTCTAACACTTTTTGAATGAATGGATGCCGAATTTAAGGTAGCACCAATGGGAAGAATCAAGCAGTTCTGAGTCTAGCCTGGAATCCTCAACTCTAGACTTCTGGTAGGATAAACCAGGAGACTGAAAGGTGCATGAGTTTGGAGAAGGCATATTGGTGAATTCCCCTGAAGTTCTGAAAGTTCAAAGCACTGGCTCAGAATTACAGCTAGAAATTCATTTTGTATTTTGGTCTAAGCATTAGTTTCATGGAGAATTAAAACAAAAAATTTCTTCGTAAGCTTCAAAGATGAATGATAACCTAGCAAAGATAAAATGTAAATGTAAATGTAATGCTTCTGGCCTGCCAATGGCAGCCTGTAACTAGCCTGTATCAACTTTTTTCCTTCTTGGCAAGATGTAGTCAAGGTACTTCATGACTGAAGTCACCAAGGGTCACAGAGCCTTGGCAGTAATTGCTTGGCTTTTCCTGAGACTCTTTCCTATCTTCTTTCCATACCTCAACTCTTTGGCCAGAGGCTTGTCATGTCCTCTGGTCTCTCCACTGACTGCTTCCTAGGCTGCTCATTCTTTAAACTCCTTTCTTCCTCTAATCTGGGTCTTGTCTCTAAGTTCTTGGTTCTGGCCCAGTGTGATGACCCTTCAGATAACCTCTAGCCTCCAGCAGAGGCTTGGGTGTTATATTCTATAAAATTTGAATTCAAGATGATTTTTCATTTAGAAAGGAGTTTTATCTGATGCAAGATTCCTACCTGCTATCTGCACATCCAGTGGCTACGAACACTTAGAAGTGTTTCAGAATACAAGAGCTAAGCTGACTCTTCCTCCAGTACTTGGTGTATCTTGAAAGCCGTTTTCTGGGTCTTTGTGTTTAAGGCCTACGTAAGATTACTATAAGAAGGTGGGAAGGAGGGCAGGCTATTGCTTGACTGACACCACTGGCTGATAGGAAGTGAGGAGGATCCTTTTGGCTAGGTAGGGAGAGTGGGATGAGGCTCTTAGGATTTGATTGAGGAACTTGGCTTTCCACTAAGGGGAATGTATAAATTTGTGTTTCAGTCACAACAAACCATCCATTCACTGGCTGAATTCCCTCCTAGGAGCTTTAGACATGGAGAGTTCTAAACCAAATATAGAATCCATTTGAGTTGCATAGATCCAGTGTTAGGACAGAAAAATTCACACTTTCAGGCAACTGGCCATATGGCTTTGGGAAAGAATGCATTTTTAGTTCAAGGGGGGAACATCTTTGGGGAAAAAACATTTTGAGTCCTGATAAGCCAGTAAGTTGAGATGAACCATTCAATGAAAACTCATTGGCTGCTGTGTGGGAAAGACAGACCTTTAGCCTGAAGGGCTCTTAGCATGTCTGCCACTTAACGTGTTTTTAAAGATGAATATTTTCTTAGCATACTCATTGAGAAATGTGGAGGTGGTCTCAACCACTGGGGAATGGTTACTGATTTGGTTATCAGCATGCATTAGTGTGCTTGGGCCCTGGAAGCTGGCAAGGATGGAGAGCTGAGGATGAAGAGTTGTGCACAGTTGGTGATACCAGCAGTGGGTCTAGGAATAAGATGGAGATGCTCCCGGTGGGGGCACCGTGCATGTATTTCCTGTTGGCTGCAGAAGGGTTATCATCAGGAAACTTGAGGCTGATACAGATTTTTAAAAATCCTTTTGTTAACAGCTCTGAAGGCAAGAAGTCACAGATGCTCTGTCCCCAAAGACCTTAGTCTTTCATGAAGTTTATTTTACTGGAGATTAATATAAGAAAAATGGTTTCTTGACAGTCCTTCTAAGGATCTACTATGACATCCATTTCCCAGCAAATCCTACCTATGAGCTATATTTCCTTGTGGCTGGACTCTGTGGCTTTGAAGCAGAACCATGGGACTTCTAGCTCGGGTTTGGATCATTTGAGTTTAGAAAGATGTTGAGCTTGTCTGTGCCTCAATTATCTGACATGTAAGATGGGGCATATTCTCCTTATATGAGTTAAATGAGGCACTTGAAGCCACAAAGATGGAAGTCAGCCTTCCTGTAGGGCACCTTATCAATATATGTCTGTATACATTTAATTATTATCTAATTGTTGATTGTTTCTATGGTTGTAAATCTAGGTCAGAGAGACTGTCCTGTTACACACTGGGCACAGTGTTGGATGACTGAAGAACCACCAACAGTTGTCACTTATTCCTGCAGTACTTTTGTTTGTTTGGAGTTTTTTTTTTGCTTGTTTGTTTGTGGCCTTGGCTGTCCTGGAACTCACTCTGTAGACCAGGCTGGCCTCAAACTCACAGAGATCCGCCTGCCTCTGCCTTCCAAGTGCTGGGATTAAAGGCGTGTGCTGCCGCCGCCTGGAAACTGCAGTACTCTTTACACGTCAGAATTCAAGTCCTTAGTATGGTGTATGTTAATCTGAGACCTCCTTTTTCATGAGTGCTTGCTTCCTTAAAGGAAATATTTTGATTATTCACATCACTTGACACGAGGATGAGAATAATCCCCATTGATTGTGTGGTCTCATTTAGGAATCACCTTGTTCCACTCCCCATACAAGCTCAGGAGATTCTGCCAGTGGCTTAAGGAGACACACAAGGAGTGTGAAGGGTGATTTTGAACCCATGATCATCCAGGACAAAATGCTTGCGTGTGATATTGGAAGGAAGTTCTCTGCTATCTTTTTAAGTCATCTAAGCTTGTCTGCTTTATAAAAGTATTATATGACTATTATGTCATATTAATGTTGTAAGATATATACTACATACAAGTCTGTCTACCCAAGTCCATCCCACGGCTCATAATTAGAACACACATGCGCACACACACACACACACACAGACACCAGACAGGGAGGGCGAATGCTATACTCTTCCAGCTGGTAGCCTGTGGTTTTCCGTTCGTTACCATGCAACTTGCTGCCCTATGGTAATACACACCTGCCAGCAACACGAACAATGCAATATTCAAACTTCTTCCTTCCTTCCAGGAAGAGATTTCTCTACCACATTCCCTGGGGTCAGCACGTACTCACAAGTATATGTTCTAGAGAAGTAACCGATTTCTTGACACTGTTTATCAGGGTAGTTAAACCTCTATTTAATGTAAAACCAAAGGACATGAGGCAACTATGGATTTATTTCTATTTCTAGTTCCTTATTTTGCTGTAGTCATGGTTATTTCACCCTTTATCTCTCCTCCCAGGCATAATCCGTTATGAAAGTCATTCCTGATTCCCCCTTGCTGGGGAAGACTTAAGAGTTCTCATGTCTTGCTCTTTCTATGCAGCATTAAAGTGATAGTTTAAGGTACTTGCCTCCTCTCTAGATGGTGCCTGAGGTTTTGGGCTGGTGAACAGATTGTGAGCATTGAGTCATGTGGGATCTGTTGGAGAGGCTGGGGACTGAATGAAGCAGTTGGCCACATCAGTGACCACTCCCAACGTCACCTCTAACCTTATCCAATGCTCAACGTTAACCACGATATCTTCTACATAGTAATGTTCAATACATATTGATCTGATTTCTGGTTGGATGAATGAACACCAAGCATATCAGGATCTGACTGACAATTGAATACATCACCAAGCATTAGCTATAAGAACTGTTGATCATTACAGGGCTCCAATGCAATGACAGTGTATAAGGAAACATTAGTGCTTGCCCTAGATGTACCAAGAGAACCAAGCTCCTGCTAGGACCATTGGGTTTCTGATATTAATCATGTCTCACCACAAGCATAAGAACATGCCACAATGACCAAACTAATTGTCTGGGGGAGCTCTGGGGTAGAGTGCCAGAGTCCTTACCTGTCTGTGCTGTTGAGTGACTTGATATCCCAGGCCTGCAATGGACTGATTCTGCATTTTCTGAAGCATCATTTTCTGCTGAAGTGGCAGGGGTGACCTTAGCAAAGGCTGGCTTGATAAAGGTTGGGTGGGTTGGGCTGCTGGTGGTTGCTGTTGCGGCTGCTGCTGCTGAGCTGCCACTGAGCCTTGCTGTTGGTGTTGCTGCTGTTGCTGAGCTACCAATGAGCTCGGTGGCTGTGGCTGCTGCTGCTGTTGTTGCTGCTGCTGCTGCTGCTGCTGCGCTGCCAATGAGCCTTGCTGCTGCTGCTGCTGCTGGGTGTAGTGTAGGAGAGAAGGCTTGCTCTGGGAAGGCAAAAGAGAAGGCATCTGCTGGTTTGCTTGGTCTGAGTTAAAATGGAACAAAGGCTTGGTGTTGCCATGCCGGGGCTCCAAGGTTGGGTGTGGGTTGTTAATAAAACTTCGACTGAGATCCTGAGGCTTTTGCTGCAGAAGCACATCCAGGTGTCCAGCCTGGGCTGAGGGGCTAGCCTTGTATGTATAGTTGACCACTGCTTTGGACTGGTTGCTGCTGCCGGCTACCCCAGGCATGGGTGATCCCTGGGGGCTGAATGGCTGCTGTCCAAAGGAAGGACTGGGGATTTTTTCCTGCACAAATGCCCCTGGGGAAGGCCCAGCAGAGGACGGCAAGGCTGGCCAGTTGGGAGCAGGCTGCTGCTGCTGTTGCTGCTGCTGCTGTTGCTGCATCCGTGCATGCTGCTGGCGGTTTGCAGCTATCTGCTTGAGCTGTTGAGCATGGGACACCTCTTGCCAGCTTGGCAGGGCCCTGTTTGCTCCTGATGCTGTCTGAGGCTGAGGCTGACTCTGGGGGACTGTGGGGATTGGGGATGAAGTGGGGAGAGCAGAGTTGGCCAAGGAGAATGCAGGGCCTGCTGACGGGGGCCTTAGTTGGGGAGAGCCTGAAGCGCCCTGTGTCAAACCAGGTGAGTATTCACTTTTGATAATGATCTTCTCCACGGGTAGGGGAGGTCTAGGTGTACTCTGCTGGCTTTGCTGACCCAAGTCAATGCCGAATGGGTCATCCTGCTTAATGGTGGCATTGATCATGTTCTCCAGCTCCAGGTCACTCATGGGAGGCACTGATATGTTGGTCAGCTCATTGAACAGTTCCTGCAGCTCAGGGTCCATCAGCTGCTCTCCAGGGTCATCTCCAAACCTATTAGGAAAAGTGCTCTCCTGTGTCATTTGGTCATCCATGTGCTTACTGCAAGACAAGGTCTCCCCAGGCTCTTTCTTTACTTCCTTTAAGCCCATGTTAAACATAGTGTTGCCAGGAGACTGTGCAGCAGGGGGAAGAGCATTAGTCTTTCTCAGGGGTGCTTGGCTCATGGTCAAGGCCCCCGGCATCATGTGGCTTTGTCCATTATTTACTGGGAGGGTCCCCTGACCTGTGGAAAGGTTCTCCCCAACTCTGATCCTTTTGATGTCAAGGAATGAGCTGTCAACAAAGCCATTGGGTCTCTTGCTATTGGCAGGAGGAAGGTTGATTATTTGTTTTCTTTTCAAGGATCCCTGGAGCTGAAAGACAGAAAGGAAATAAGACAGACATGTTTAAGATCTCGATTCAATTATTCTTTTAGCCAAGAGCAGTGTTATACGTTATTTATGCTCAGTGCTTAAATCTTTAATTAAAAAAAAAAGTTTAGTTTTGGTTTTTGGAGGCAGGACCTCATTTATCCCAGGTTGGTTTCAAACTTGCTATGTAGCTGGAGATAGTTTTGAACTTCTGATCTTCCTGCTTTGACTTTCCGAGTGTCTGGGATTACAGGTATCATCCACAGTATGCAGCTTTTGTGACGCTGGATATAGAACCCATGTTTTTTTGCGTTTTAGGAAAGCACTCTACCACCTGGGTTGTAATTTCTAGCTACAACCCCAAATTTAAATATCTGTTCCCCCAAGGAGACCTAGTCTGGAACAAAATGGATACATAGAAGAAAATGAAAGTAGTTTAGAGGCCACGTCTATCCCAGTGATTGACACAGAGGTTAACAGGAGAAGAGGGTTCCTCTAACATATGAGTCATTCCCAGTACCTAAGCATGCTTTCTTTTTTACTGGAATAGAGAAAAATATCTCTCACACATGCACACACTATTCTAGCAGCTACATACCCAAAGTGCTCACACGTTGACCACGTTGAGAAACACCAATAAGTTTAAGGAAATACAAAATTTCCAGCTTCTTTGTTATATTGCTTCCCAAGTTCAACCTTACCCTCATTGGTATCTTCTAAGTAAGTTAGAACAGCCCTCAGGTCCAAGGAGACCTTCTGAATATCATTCATGGATTTTTTTTCTATAATTCTATTACTTTGCATTTAGGGCTGGGATGGGCTATATAACAAGAACGGTTATTGTCTGGGCTCAGCCTTTGCCATATCCAGGTTGTTCCCAGATCCTTCTTCCTCACTTAAGATCTAGGATGTCTAGGTGCTCACAACTCTGGGCCCCTTCATGCTGGAAGGGACAATACTATGGGGGAATACATTTATTAAACAAGACTTTTTTCTTCTGCTGCTGTCTTAGTTAATGTTCCCCAGCTGTGAAGAGACACCATAGCTACTGAAGCTCTTATAAAAGAAAGCATTTATTTGGGGGCTTGCTTACAGTTTCAGTGGGGTTACTCTGTTATCATCACAGCGGGAAGCCAACAGGCAGAGTACTAGAGTAATAGTTGAGAGCTTTGCATCCTTATCTGCAGGCAGCAGAAGAGAGAGAATGACACTGAACCTTGTAAGGACTTTTGAAACCTCAAAGACCACTCCTGGTGATGCATCTCCTCCAACAAGGATGCATCTCCTAATCCTTTCCAAACAGTTCTATTAACTGGGCATCAAACATTCGAATGTATAATTCTATGTGGGGCAGTCTCATTCAGACACCACAGCCACTAAACATTTCAACAAAACCAAAACCAAGGTGTTGAGAAGCAGTTTTGCAAATGTCTTATGAGCTAAGTTTATATTCCAATGCTGTCATCAGGCAACTTGCTTGTCTGAGTCTCAGTTTCCCAATCTGGAAAAATTCTCACAAAAAGGAACGAGATAACTTATGTAAAAATTTGGCACAATGCTCATTGTAGTAACTTCATGAAGTATAGTTTTGAGGAAGAGTTGATGGCTCGCTATGTTTTCTGTATCTCTCCACAGCAGCATGTCTGTGCAGATCACAATGCCCAGTTGCTGCGTTCACTTACCCCATGAACAGACTGAACTCTGGGAGTCTCACATCTGCAGAGCAAGGTTGAAGGACCATGGAGCCATCCCAACAAATGTTTTCAGAGGACAAAGCGTTTATCATTGGTTCCCTGAACAAACAGATGGTATGTCTCTAAAGCACGAGCTGTATCCACCACAGTGTGACATCCATGACTCTGCCCACAGACCTAAATTATTTAATGTCTGCTCAGGCCCATTGCAAAGAAGCCAAGGTTAACATGCTTTTTAGAAAGTTATATCGCTTCTCTCCCTTCCCTTCTCAGTTATAGATACCCCCTCACCCTCTTGAAGATTTCTGAATTAAGCAAAGAAAATTCATAGAACTATATATGCCATATATGCCAGGGATTTAAAGCATGATGATTTTATTCCTTAGCATCTGCCTGACCAATCATTAGATATACATTAGGCATGCATTTTATAGATATGAAAACCAAGGCACAGAGCTAGTAAGTGGTAGGTCTGTCTGGGTCTATAATCTACCATTTCCATCCTGTTAGGTTTCAGAAAGGTGCTCTAGGGTCAAGGTTCACCTGGCAGGAAGGGGGCCAGTGGCAGTGAGTACAGAACCACCTTAGAATGTAGGTGAAATGTGGCAGAATTGGGAATGGGGTGATGTAGAACAGGACTCAACATGAACTGTGTTCCTTGCCATCTTGCTCATCAAGACCTGTTCCAGCCATCCCTGTCCATTGCCTAGCTTGTCCACTCACATGCAACGTGTGGCTAGGATGGATGGTGGGACAAGTGTAAGCCATTCACGATAGCTGACTGCTAACAGGAAAGCAACCCGACCCATCCTGGGCCAGTTGATCCGTGCATTAAGATTGTAGACCTGGGAAACGTAGACCAGAGCCACTAGTCTGGCTGCTTAGTGATTCATGACTTGGGAGCTGTTTTAGAGTCACAGCGCTTCAGAGAGAGGAAGCAGAGTGGAGAGGGTCTCTGCAGTTTCTCTGTGATCTCTGACACACTGTGCCATATTTAGAGTAACTTCCTGTCTGCTCAAGTTAGTGTGACTGACCTGCCCCTCCAGATGTGGCTTTAAATGCGGAAGGGTGGGGGTCAGAATGGAGAAGTTGAGCGCTACACAGTTGAACCTTTGGGTAACTTGGGTGACATGGGGCAGAAGGGAGGAATGCAAAGAATATATGGTGCTGTCCATGTCCCGGGGTACCCGGGAGGTAGCAGCTTCCAGAAAGCATTTTATTACATTGACAGTGTGAATGGGGGACTCCCAAGATGCATTTTTTTATTGAGGCCTCATAGACACAGTTGCAGTAGTCCAGAGAATTTGTTAATTTATTTGAAAATGGAATGAAACAGTGAGCTTTTAGCTACATTCTTGTTTTCATATATTGTGATACTTAGCACTGATTGTGACCTTGACAGGATCTAGAGCCATCTAGGCGACAAATCTCTGGCTGTATACATGGGATTGTCTAGATTAGGCTAACTGAGGCGGAGAGGCCCGCCTGAAAGTGGGCAGTACCCTTCGACAGGCTGGGGTCCTGGAACAAATAAAAAGGAGAGTGAGCTGGGTGTTAGCATCCATCTCTCTCTGCTTCCTGACTGTGGATACAAGGTAACCAGCTGCCTAAGCAACTGTTGCCATGCCTTCCTCAGCATCACCGACTGGCTTCCTGACTGTGGATACAAGGTAACCAGCTGCCTAAGCAACTGTTGCCATGCCTTCCTCAGCGTCACCAGATTGCATCCTGTAACTGTGAGCCAAAAGAATCCCTTCTCCCGGGCAAGAGGTTTTTTGAGTTTGTTTTATTCTTGTTTTTGTTTATTTGTTTGCTTGCTTGCTCTGTTTTGGTTTTGTTTGATTTTTTAAAAATTTTCTTTTAGGGGTGCACTGCAGGGGTGAGGGAATGATATAGGGGTGTTGGGAAGTGAGCAGAATTAGGGTGCATGATGTAAAATTCCCAAAGAATCAATATAGAAATAATGTTTGAAAAAACTCCCTTCTCTCCTTAAGTTGCTTTTGTCATAGCAAGAACTCACATAACTAATAATATATACTATTATTTATCTTATGCAAACCTGTTACAAAATGAAAATTTAAATATTTTTTTCAAGGAAGAAAGTGCTCTTAAAAACAAGAGAAACAAAGGCCCAATAAAGCCTCTCATTTGATAAAAACAGCCGAATGAACATCTGTCTTCCTCCACTCTTCTTCCTAGTAGTGCTAGGGACTGAACAGGGCCTTGTGTGAGCCAGGCAGTGCTCCACCACGGAGGCCCAATCCCCGTCCCCAATGCTTTTTTGGACAGGGATTCTGCGGAAGAGCCTCACTGAATCTTCTCACAGCTCTGTGGAGCAGGTAAGAAGTCTAGGCTCCTGTCGTTACTGTTACATGGGAAGAGGCAGATGAGGTAGTGCACACTTGTAACCCCAGCACTCTGGAGGAGGCACAGGAGGGTTGTGAGGTCAATACTTGCCTATGCTCGGCGGCAAAGAATCCCTTCCCACACAGAGCGTACCGATGGCAGAAAGCAGTGGGCTAGCACGCACCAACTTGGCCGCAGCGCTGTTCACCACGCCTCATCCACACTGTTCTGGATGCAGTGCAGAGACAGCCAAGAAGAAAGGGCACTAGAAAGATGTACGGCATGTCCAGGGCATGGGCAAGGACATACAGGACCCCTAAGGATGGATGGCAGGGAGACAATGGTGGCATCATTGGTCGGAGGTTGGTAGAGCAATCTCTGGATGTTGGCCTTGAAGCTCCCGTGTAAGAGAGGGAGGAGGCAAGAGGTCACTCCACCAGTGAAGATTTATTAAGTACACAGAGAAAGCGCCAAGCTACATCTTGTCATATCACTCATGGCTTAAAGGAGATACTGCAGATGACAAGAAATCCAAAATTGGTCTGCTGATTTGTGAGGTTCTGTACTGCATGCACGCCCTGGCTGGTCATCGGAAGGGCTTCTCTGGGGTGTGGCCTTCCACAGCAAGTCTAGTCTGGTTTACATTCCACAAGGAATCCTGACTTCGCTGTGATCCAGCAGGCCGAGGCTCTCCACCCCAGTCCTTGCTCAGCCTCTCTCTGAACACCCCTCGCCTTGTGAGAATCTGGTCTCTGCTGGGGTGGCCATAAGCCTGCTTAGGCTGGAAAGAGTCTGCAAACAGAGACCTGTCTTCCAGGGCTGGGGAGGAAGTACTGAGAACACTTATGGAAGACCTCTGCCCATCAGTAAACAGCGCTGTTTGAAACAGCTGTACTTCACTCTTCCAAAGGCCTCGAAACATAAACTTCCTGGAGGGATTTGAGAGCACCATGGTTGCACAATCCTCTGGCTTCTGTTTCTTCCCCTGCCCCCATCCTTTCCCACAAACTAAATGCACCCTTTGTCTCCTGTGATGCCCTAGAAACAAGGAACGCACCTCACAAAGGTAACAATTCAGCCCATAGGCCACGGTCCACCCCCCACCCCCCAAGTAGATTCCTGTCCCTCTCAACCAGGGAAAACATGTGAGAACCAATTCTGTAGCTGCGTGGAGTTTGTGTGTATGCATGTGTGTGCGTGTATGTGTGTCTGTGTCTGTGCATGTGTGTGCGTGTGTGTGTGTGTCTGTGCATGTGTTTGTGTGTCTGTGCATGTGTGTGTGTGTGCACGTGTGTGCATGTGTGCGCGCGTGTGTGTGTGTGTGTGTGTGTCTGTGCATGTGTGTGTGTGTGCATGTGTGTGCTTACCTGGATCCTACCACAAATGAGCTTTCCTAACAGTCCTTTAGAGATGGGATTAATGCTAGAAATTAGAGGTGATCTAGAAAGAGACAACCCCAAAGATCATATGTGACTTCTCATTGGTTCTTACAGTGAAATGTTTGAGATCTTGGAATAACAACCTTGAGCTCTAGAAGATGAGAGTAATTCCTCTCTGGCTTGCATTTTCCTCATCTAAAGAGAGAAGAAACTACAAATTTGTGGCCTTTTCCAAAGACATTAAAAACCTCCCTTTCATCAGGACAGTGGTGGCACATGCCTTTAATCCCAGCACTCAGGAGGCAGAGGTAGGGGGATCTCTGTGAGTTCAAGGCCAGCCTGGTCTACTTAGTGAGTTCCAGGATAGCCAGAGCTGTTACACAGAGAAACACTGTCTCAAAAACAACAAAACAAAACAGCTCTCTTTCTTCTTAGCCCACATAAACCTCTGGACTTCTCTATGTGGCTAAGTGTTGCCGGATTGAATATATCCAACCCAATTGTATGCTCCTTGGCTCCAATACTTTACTGAACATGCACCTACCATAATGCAAGCTTGCCTTGGCTGAATTGCTTCCTAAAATAGTTCATGCATTTGTCTCAGTCCCCAGAACACTGGATCCTTTTAGCCACTAAACAGTTGGACAACAGCAAGAAGGTGCCTGTAGCTTGTAGGGAGCTCTGTCCTGCTGACTCCCCCACCACTGGCATTTGTGTGATCATGTCTCCCTGCGAACATGAAGCCCTCAGAACTGCAGCCATGAGAAAGCTGAGCAGCATCAAAGTGAAGCAAGACTTAAGGGCGTGGGGACGCGTCAATGGACCCAGGTGGCCGTGCAACCCTGAGGCAGTCCTAGGCTGGCTGGCTCTGGTGTGCAAAGCTCATCCCAACTGACTCCATGCTGAGCGGAACATGCTGGATCTGCAGAGCAGCAAGACACACTTCCAGTGTGAGTTTTAAACAGACTTTAAGAAAAATTGTGGGGCACGTGTTGGTTGGGGACTCTGCTATTGTTAGACCTGGTGGGGAAAGTGTACTAGATGTGTCTGAAAATTCTGTCCATAACTTTGCTCCGTAAGACTCAGACTCTGAGAGACTTCATCACTTCTGCACAATAGTCATTCTTCATAAAACCCAAACTAAAGATGAAAGTTCTTTGTTTATTCTAAAGATGGGATTTCAATATATACATACATGTATACATATTATTACATGTGTAAATATATATGTAAAAGTATTATAATGAAGCCCACTATTTTTTTAACTTTTTTTATTTTAAATAGCTTGTTTTACATGTCAATCCCAGTTCCCTCTCCCTCCCCTCCTCCCGCACCCCCCCTCACCATTCCACCCATCCTCCCACCCTATTGCCAATTCCTTCCACATAGGGGATATCTAGAGTCTATCATTTCATTCAGGGTACGGTCCAGGCACTTCCCTAAGAGTCCAGGCAGAGAGAGCAATCCTCTTTGTGTTATGGACACATGATGTCTGTTAGTATTCGAGGGATAAACACTGATCCACTGCTCAGGACCCCATAGGTAGCCCAGGCCTCCTCATTGACTCTCACATTCAGGGGGTCTGGATTGGTCCCATGCTGGCCTCCCAGCTGTCGGTCTGGGGTCCAAGAGCTCTTCCCTGTTCGGATCAGCTGTCTCTGCTGGTTTTGCCAGCCCATTCTTTGCCAATTTGCTCTTCGCTCCTCTCTCTCTGTCGCTGGGCTCCTTGGGTTCTGTTCAGTATTTAACTGTGGGTGTTTGCCTCTGCTTCCATCAGTCACTGGACGAAGCTCACTATTTTGCATCCTAACTTTAAGATTAATTTTAAGAAATCCAAAGAAGATATCCTTCCCATGTTGCCAACTACGTTAAATAATATCATTCCAGATTCATTCCATGATAACGACATCCTTAGTCATCCCCAATTGTCCCTATAATCACTGCAAGAACCTCCAGGAGCCTATCAGAGATGGACCCGCCATGTCAAACACAGAAAAGAATGGAATATTGTACAAAAGCCTGAAGAAAAAAATAGAATAACTACTTTGTGCATGAAATACTTTATCTATGACTCACTTTTGCCCAAAATATATCCAAGTGAATCCAAAGTAAATGCTATGTTGAAAATGCTGGCTCTATTCCTAACGCTCTAAACGTCCTTCTCAGCAGAATGTACAGTGCATTAGACATCATTAATCACGAGGTCTCCCTCTCCCACTTTACTCAGAGGGTCCAACTCCAGAGTTCTCTGGATGCTTAGGTCGCAGCATCCTGCTTCCCGTCGTATTCTTTGGCTCGGCTATGATGGTTTTAGCACTTTCTGCCTTGTATTGTTCTTGGCAACTGGTTCAGGTATGTGAGTTTTTCACTTCAGTATGATTTCAAAAGTCAAGAGAAGAGCAACTTCTCATGGCCCCAAAGCCATCCCATCTCTAGTCTGGGAAATGCTAACTGCCTGCCTTGTGTTTGTCTTATTGGGCAGCCAGTGGTCTGGGCTCTCGGCTCGTCAGTATGGGGACATCTATGTTTGTTCTGCCTGTGCTCACGAATGGAACCTGCTTTCGTAAGCCTCGCTGGCTGATAGCAGCTCTTGTTTTGGACAAGGAGAGGAAGCACAGATGCAGGTGGGAATTAAACCTATTTCAAAATGTTGGTCAGTGCCTGCAAATGTGCGTGGCAGAGAGCATCAGTATTGTCTGTTCTTTGTTTGGGGCTGGGGTGTGGCTATTGAGACGCTCCGTCTTTTCAGAAAGCAATGTCAAAGCTTCCCTCAGCTGCCTGCCAGCCTTCTTTTACCTTTCATGGCTCGGGGGACTTAGGTGGGTATCCAAAGTCCCTCCCTTCCCAATCTCTGGTTCTAAGTCAGTCTTCTCCCCCATGTCCAGATTTTCTCTGTTTTCAGCACATCTTGACCTCTGACCTTCTCTTTGACCTCTTCTTGACCCGTGTTGTCTACATAGCAACAAAAAGTGTGTCCTGTTCAGACCCAACATACCCAGCCACAACCACATCTTCTTTCTCCCTCCCCCACCCTCTTCTCCTCCCCTCCCCCTCCCCTCTCCTGCTGTTTTTCCCCTCCCCTTCCTTGCCCCCTCTCCATCTCTTTCTTTTTCATTCTAAGACCAAAGCCAGCCATTGGACTTTCAGGTACTGTGCTCATAGTGCCTTCCCTTTGGGATGCTCTTTCTCCCAGGGCTTTGCTCTCTCCCCCACGGCTAGCTCTAGCTCCTTCTTTCATCTCCCCCGAGGGTGGGTCCAGCAGAAACCTTTCTCATGATTAATCCATCTAAAGATTACTACTCTCGTTGGCTGTCCACAATCTCTTGGCTATTTCCTCCGAAATACTTATAATTTTCAATAACTTTATTAATTGACTTCCATTTTAAAAGACTGCCTCCCACATTATAAAATAATTTGTAGGGAGGACTTACAA